TATCAAATCAGTGCTCTTAATGTGCTCTGGAATTTGGTTTTTTGGACTTTTACCATTTAGAAAATGTATCCAGTTGAAAGGACAGTCTCAGAAGCAGGGAAGCCTTTCCACAAGCAGCAGCTGCTCCTGCTATTTGGTGTGTACATAACTAGAAAATACAATCTGAAAATGTACTCACCCACTCCGTATTTTTTCCACGGGAGCAGATCTGATACCTGCCACAGGCTATAACCATTCCTACTGCAGACCTGAGGCTTTGGTCTTGCAAATTCCTGTGTCATGTTGCCACATCAGAATTATGGCATTAAAATAGTGTTATTTTGTCATGACCTGCCACGTGCGCACATCTCATTTGCTCACTTGCAAAGGCACCTCTGTAGTGCTGGAAGGACTGTTACTTCTATAGCTTGTGAAGTCCTGCAGATAGTAAATGGGAAAAGAACAAGCATTTTGATTTTCTATACAATGAAAAGCTTGAGCTTGATTATATTAAAAATTGAGAGGTCCTGCTGGATGTTTGGCTTGCATCCCAGCTGGTGGAAAGCGCAAAGAAATGCTTTAGCTGCTTCAGTGTCAACTTGAACTTCATTTTTTCTCTCTCCCAGCTTGATCAGCCACTGAAGGTCATCTTATTTCAGTCGTTCCCTAAAGCGTCCTGCATACACACACAGTGCATACCCAGGGGTAAACGGGGTTTTCAGTCACTGGGGAAATGATTTGTAGCTATTTATAAAGTAGGGTTGTAATTTATTATTTGAATTCTGTTGCCTAGATTGAAAAAGTATCTGACAATCAACGGGAACCAGCAGTTTCATTTTAATTCCACAGGGTAATAATTTTCTACTATTATAAAGCCTTACTCCAGTTATTATACATATTAGTTGGTGGGGTTTTTACAGCACCACAACGAGAAACTTGCCAAGCAATAAATTCCATTGAAAGGTTTCTTTGTGTCTTTAGGAAAAGCTTACATGAGATACTTCCCTACTTACATGTAATAAAAGGAAATAATGAAGTACACAAGCACAGAAGTAACCATTAACTTGTGCTGTTGTGTATTTTAATGGTTTTATTATAGGTAAGTTTCCAAACCATACAGACTCAAATGAGTCCCTTTGCATTTCTCTGAATCTATCCTTTTAATGTACAGAAAACCTGATTCACACAGATTCTGGAATTAAATCATCACTCCAGCTGCTATGCTTTAAGTTTCCCAGACCTTTGTGAATCATTGTGTGGTTTTGAACAGCCTGGTTGTTGTGACATAAATATTTTTGTAATTGATCAAATATGTTTAGGTTTGGTTGGTTTATATTTTTAACTAAAAAAAAAAAAGAGACATTTTTAGAAGGATTTATTTAATTTTTAGGAAATGAGATTAATCATGTTCTTCAGGCACGATTTCCTTTTAATGTCTCCGACTAATTGAAGCACAGGAATTATTTTCATTTTTGTCTCAGCCGTTACAGCCCTGTTGGGCTTTGGGTATGTTTTTGCTAAGTCCTCCTTCGAAAGCTCTAGAGTTTTTACTGCTTGGCAGTTGTTAAGCTACCTGCATCCTTGTTTAATGTTCTAGGAAAGAGTTCAGACACTTATGTCTGAGATTGAAAGAAAAAAAATCAGATTCTGATGCATCAGAGTAGGTAAGCAACAGGACAGAAAGCCAGATGTGGCAGTGATCAGGAACAAAGCCCTGTGCGTAAGGCTTAAAGCACAGTCCGGAGCCTTTATACATTTTAATTGTAGGAGAGGAATGATGAGTCAGTGCTGCCAGGGACTGTTGGGCCAGGCACGGCAGCCACAGTTAAGGGGTTTTCAGCTGGGACTGGGTGTCCTCGAGAGCTAGAGATCTTGAGGGGGGTCATAAAACCCCATCCACCTTGTTCTCTAGTGACTAACTCTAAAACTTCCTGAATGTCCACGTTTTGTTCAGATTTCTTGAGGACAGAAAGCTAAACTGGATACAGAGGCACCTTGACGTACGCTAACAAGGTGCAACCAGGCTCTGTAGAAACAAGTAGAAGGCATCCTCGTAGGCTTTGTGGTGAGCTCAGGTCGGCCTCGGAGTGGTGCTGCACGTGCTGCTGCGGTGGCGGGGCACCCAGGGATCTTCCCGTGTTTGCAGAGGCTGAGGAAGCTTCGGGGTGCTCGATGCTCACACAGGAGCAGAGCCCTGGCACTGGGGCACCGAGTGCCGTGTTGGACCCGAGCTGTGTCCCATGTTTCTGGGCAGGCTGGTACAAGCCTTCACTGTGACTGAATGCTGGTTGTCCTCCTTCAGTGCCATTTTGTTGTTTCTTTTCTCTCTTTTCTCAGCTGCCACCCCAGCACTTTCCTTTGCAGCAGTTTCCCCCGCTGCCCTGTCTGGGTGTCCCTCCCGCTCCACCTCTGTGCCAAGTGCCCAAGAGAGGCAGGGAGCTGTCGGCCACAGGCTGTTGAGTTTCTGGGGATAACACTCTTGCAGAGGGCAGGGTCTTGGTCCCCTTGAGAGCCCCCATTCAAGGGCTGCCTGCGAGCTCAGGACACCCTTACTGTGCTCTCCTGATTCTATACAAGATGTTTGCCAAAGCCAGAAACTGCCTGAGCATTATTGCCGGTATCCCCTGGTGGGACCGCAAAGGACATAAATACACTGAGTGGTTGGGACCCTGGAGACCTCCGAGTTTATGCTGCTACTGTGTTTTCCCTGGTACTTTGACTGCTGGGTTCACACGTTGCCACCAAATTGTGCTTTAAAATATATATATTCATTGTGGTTGTGTAACTTTGTGACCGTAAGGGGAACCGCAGTCCTATGGACCCAGTAATGCCACTTCTGCAAACCCTGCCAAAGAATTGCCCCATTCAGCTTGGGGCCTGCTCTGTGGATTCTGATTATGCAGCTGCAAAATGTGGTATTTTCTTAACATGCCACTGAATTTAGCATTTTTTTTTCCTGTGGAACTTGCTATTTTGCTGAAGCCAGGTGCTTGACATTTTTCTGTCAGTCCTTTGGGGGTAGGGGGGGGGCAAGAAATCTTCTAGCAGCTGCTTCTTGTTTTAGGCTGTTCTCTGGGGAGCAGCTAATGGATTACAGGCCTGGCAGGAGGGGAGGACCTTGGCAGCACGGCGTGGGCACACTGCTGCTGAGCACATCCTGGTAGTGGGGAGAAGAGAGGGAAAAAAAGAAAGTACCGTCCTCAGCCACCAACTGGTTTCAGCCCAGTGTGAGCTTTTCAGTGGTGCCTCATGGTAGGGTGGGTAACTGAGCTGTGAATGAAGGGATATTTGCCAGACATCGATTGATGCTCAGTCTGGACATCCTTTAGCAAATGATGCTTGTGAAGATTTGCCTGGTGGTGAAGAACGTCTCAGTCAGCAGCAGCAATTTCAGGTGTGCTCCCCTGGCTTGTACGGGCACAGAACAGCCTCCTCAGGCTGCCATGGGCTTGGTGTGGCATCTCTGCTGCTGCAGACATGGTGGTGTGGGAGCTGGCCTGTGGGAAGGGCTCGTCACTGGTGTTGGCATGGTGTCCTTTTGCAGACTTTGCTCTGGGACCTGCTGTAAATATGTCCTCCAGCCTTTTCCTGGGAGCTCTGTCCTGCGGCAAAGCTCAAGCCCTCTGGCATCAGGTGCAGGAGGCACAGCCAGTCACAGCTGGACACTGCCAGGGGCAGCCAGGACATTTCTTGCCAGTTGTTTCCATTTCTAGTACAAGAGCAAAGCTGACTCTAACTATTGTTCCAGGGATGTGGCACTTCACTGAACCCAAACTGCCAGCCTCTTTGTCCTCTCTGAGGCTGCACCCACACCTGCAGGACAGCAGGTTCTACACGCAGCATTTCCCGAGGTTGAGGGTTGTGTGTTGGGCAGAATCACCACACGTCGCTCCGAGGGTGCCTTATTAAGCCCAACGAGCAATAGTTTGCAAATGAGAACATTTTTTTCTTTAGTTAGCCTTTCCTTATTGTTCTCCCAAACCACCATGGGACATTTCCAGGAGCTCCTGTATAACGTGCCTGCACTGGCACACACTGGGAGTGCCTGTCCCTTTGCGGGATGCCTGCCTCTCCCAGGAATCACAACTATGCTGGGAAATGCAGCCCAGTGGGGCTGGGGCCACAGTGACAGGGAGCCAAGCTGCTGCAGGTGGCCTCTGTTCCCCTGGAAGCCGCTGATGACAAGTGCTTTGGCTGGGGAAAGCCCCCCAAAGGTGTCCCGCTGGTCTCTGCAGCCTGTGCCTGAGTGGAGAGCTCGGGGGGGCTGTCGGGTCTCGTGAATGGAGAAATCAGGCGACCTGCCCCATGCCCTGTACGGCCTGAATGTGCCGCTATCTCACGTGGGGTGAGGCTGTCCATTTCCTCGTGGAGGCAAAAAGCCAACCACAGTTGCATTTTATTTTCCCCTGCGCTGCTGGGATGGCTCTATGTGCTGATGTACCCACCATGGCAGGGGCAGCAGGAAGGCTGGGACATGGTGCAGGGCCAGTGGGTGTGAGACACCAGCCCCCAGTGCTGCTCTGTGCTGGAAGGCTTCTGCCCCTTTCTCCGAGAGCCTGGGTTTTCTTCACATACACTTGGGCTGCTTTAATTTCACAGTTACTGAAATGTCACTGCTTTGTTTAAATCACTCTCAGGCATTTTAAGAATGCAGTATTAGGATTTATCAGGCAGACTGATGATGGTAAGAAATGACAGTACACTTGTTTCCAGTTTTTAATGCTTTCTTGTAAAACTGAAATATAAAACCAGCCGAGCAAATGAAGATCTTTATATACATGAGGTCTGTGATTAAAAAATCCTTGTAGTTAAAAAAAAAAAGGAAAAAAAAAAAAAAGGAGAAGAATTGACCAATGAGTTAAATGAAAACTGATGAAAGGGACCAACATTCTTATATTGAAACATACTTTTCAGGAAAAAAAAACAAACCTTCTTTACAAGTTTATTATATAACTTACATTTACAGTTTACTGAGAGAACTTAACAAAACAAGCTGCTTGAAATGCTCCTCATTCCCTTAAAGCATGAATTTCAAAGTGCCACAGCAAAGGAACAGGTTCCAATATTATCTTATACAGACTATTCATGTATAAAATGGTTTGGTAAATGTGAGGTGTTTATTTAAATGAGCACATATAGGGATACAGACTAAATAAAAGTACTTTAACAACACCTTTGTTATTACATACACAGTTATAGTATAATAAAGGAAACAAGGTCAGCACTGCTCTTAGGTATCTGTGTAGATGGAAGGAATGTGATTCAAGCAGTGATCAAAGGCGCCGTTTTGGAAGAATCCATTTTCATCGGTTCCGTTGGAGACCATGTCTTCAGATACACACTGTGCTTCAGAGACTGCATCATAGCCTGAAAGTGCGACAAGTTGTATGGACATGATTTAGTACATATAAGGAAGGAAGCATCGTTTGAGGCCTGGGACTGTACAGTACAGCACAGCGTTAATGACAAGACAATAGGGTTTACCATCAAAGCCTTACCCAGGAGATACACAAACTAATCTCCACGGGCGTTTGTGTCATAGGAGATGAAGCTCCTATTCATTTCTGCGGAAAGCTGCCCATTTGCAAGTGAAGTGCAAGTATCAGAGTATGACTCTCTTGGGACTCTACAGTCATTATCTGAATGGGATGTCAAAACAATGAGTGGGCAAGGATCCTAGTAAGCGTGCACTAAAAGTGATGCAGTCCTCTTCTTTTGTGTGTTTTTCCTTTTAATGGCACTTAGGAAAAATGTTCCATTTGTCTCTCATCTGCTCTTAAGATCCAGAAGAAATCTGGATCCTACACTTACTGGATCCCCAAGTACAGCATAAGCGAGGTCTGCAGAAGCATGACTGGGTCAGGTCAGGCTCACAGGACGTGTGGAAGGAGCTGTGCACCCATGGTGGTTTCTAAGAAGAAAACCACCCCTTTAGAAACCCTCCCTCCCCAAACTACTGCATGAAGCAATGTCCCCTTATGTCCATCCTTTAACACACATATTCTCTTTTACCCTGTACCACCTGATTTGGGTTGAGTCTTCAGAGAAATGTCTGTGTGAGCTTCAGTGCAAGGTTCTGACCCCTGCACCCAGCCTACAGAGCCCACCTACCACCATTTTAATAATAATCAGCAGCAGCATTAAGTCAGCTGAGGCAACACATGGAACAAGATTCTTCTAGTGGAGAACGTATCTGTGAACTGAGTGCCTGATGTAGAAAATAAATCCCTTACATTTGTGTGAATTGCCAGTCAGTGTGTGGATGGCTGATCCTCGTGGCTGAAGCACTGGGACCTGGCTCCGTTCTCTGCGTGACAGAGGAGCTCTGTGGGAAATGACTGTTTTGCTGTGCCTCAGTTCCCCATGTGGAAAATGAGGCTTTTTCTTCTCTTTAGCCTTCCTCTCATCTCTTCTGACTGCCCAACTCTGCAGGCAAGTGTGTCTAGATATGGCTGAATCTGTCACTGCACCAGGCTTCACGGAGGTCTCCGGGCTGTGCAGCACCACACCACCAGCAGTAATGACAGACCCTGCAGCCTTACAGAGCCAGCCCTGATTTCAGAAAGAACCGCCAGCTCAGGCTTTCAGACTTAATTATAGGTATTTTACTGTTAGGTATGTTTTCATTATTTGAGACCAAATTCTCTGCTTATTTACATTTCTGCGTTTTCCTATGACGTATTAATTTACTGTTAGTTTACAGGTCAAATTCTGCTGTCTGCAGAATTTTGGCATGCAGCGTATGTCCAAAGTCTCTGGAAGACAAACTCAGCCTGTTTATCTGCCCTGTGCTGTGTCGGTCCAAGTGGAGTGACCAGTATTTTGGTAAGTTTCGTCAGTGTTTATGTTATGCTAATTTCTATTTGATGAGCCTGTATACAGGGTGGATACACAACCACAGATGGACAAAACCCAAGATAAGCATACACCCCAGAAATCATTATTAGATTCCAGATAGAGTAAACTATCCAAAGTCCTGAACAGAAAATAAAAATTTATTGACTGTTAATGTGATTCATGG